GGGGGGAATGTGGTTGGGGGGGGATGTGGAGGGGAATGGAGGGGAGGGAGAGAGATGAGATATAAATGAATGAGAGATGAGTGAGAAAATAAGAGGAAAAATGCGAAATTCACACACACACGCGCACACACACACACACGCAGTTTGCAGGTGTTTCTTCAAAGAACTCTTGCTCCCCTGAGCCATCTCTGGGCCTTTTCGCTCAGGTTTTCTCACCCCTGGCGGCCCTTTCCCCTCCACTGCTGAAACCCCACCCAGCGCTCAGCTAAAATGCTGTCCCCTCTACACTCTTTCCCAGAACCAGAGTTAGAATGAACGTCTCTGGCCTCTGTATACTCAGCAGTTTTTTCTTTAGTGTTTTAGGTGCTCATTTTGGCTAATCCCTCTTCCTCCGGCTGCCCCTGCTCTGTGGGTTCCCCACCTCCCCAATCCTGAGCCCATTTCTCTCTGAGCTGTGCCTCCCGGGCCTGTGTTAGTTGGTCTGTCCCACACTCATGATTTTAGTCATCTGTCTGCCAATGACTCCTGCGGTGATCCTTCTAGCACAGACCTCTCTCTCCCAAGCACCAACCCACCACTGAACTTCTTATTGGAAATAAGTGCAGTCCAGGGCACCTCAAATCAAGGCGTCCAAAATGGATCCACTGGCTTCTCCTCGGACCTGGTGGTGTTTCCTATTCTGTGCTTCAGCAGGTGAGCTCCCTCCTGAGCACTAGAAACTGGGGAAGGACATGGCCCTGGTCTTCCTGCTTCCCTCCCAAATCCAATCATTACTGAGTCCTGCCCCTTGTATATTCTGAAAAGTTTTCACATTTGTGTCCTATCTTCTCCAGCCGCCAGTGCCCAGGATCGATGCACATCACCTCCCATCTAGGGGAACATCAGTGGCCTCTTAGCTTGTCTTTCTGCCTCTAGTTCCTCCTTGTGCTGCATTCCCCACATGGAAGCTACGGTGCTCTGTCTAAAGTCCAAATCTGGGCCTGTATCTCTTCTGCTTTAGCCACATCCCCAGTTCTCCAGGGCCCCTAACATGGCACACACGACTGGCCCAGCATCTTTCCACCTTTACTCCCCCACCCCCACAGCGGTGAACACATCTAGTGTTTGAGTAAATCGGGTTCATGCTGTTTCCTGCACCTGCAAGATCCTTCTCTGTTCCTTCCAGCATCTCACCTGGCTGGGTCCACATCGCCAAGTCCAAGCTCAGGGGTCATCCTCCCACCCCAGAAAGTCTTCCTTGACACTCTCTTGCCCCTACCACTCAGGTGGGGTCTATTGAAGGAAAGAGGCGATGGATAACGCTTTAGAGATATTTTGAAGTGGGAAAGGGAAGCCAGAGACCTCTTGTTGGGGGACCTTAATTTTATCTGCAGAATAATACAGGTGAGAGCATCTGCTGAGGGACAGAGGTGAGGGTGATCTGGGGGCTTGCTAAGAATGGAAGCTGTAGGGAGCAGCTACTCTGGGGAACACAGTGCCCCTCTGCTTTGTTCAGTCATTTGTGCACAGGTTTTCTTTACCAATCAAGTTATGAGCTTGTAGAGGACAGGAACCATCCAATGCCTATTTGCCTCCCCAGGGTCTAAGGGAGGGCCTTGCACATAGTAGGCACACAGTGCATGTGTGTGGAATGTGTGCTGAGTGATGGGCCACCTGCCACTGAGGAGAAATTCATCTGGGCTTTTTTTTGATGATGTTTACTTGAGGATATGCCCTCAACCTTTTGCCTGGATCTTTCTGTTGCCAAAAGAGTGACAATTTTAGTAGCCACAAGGACATCTGGGGAAGAAATGGCAGTCCCTTCACTGTGCCTAAAGCAACAGATGTGATAGGCAACAGTCCTAACATTAGATATTTATCAAGGGTTATGGCAGGTGAATAAAATTTATTAGCATAACATTCACATACCTCTGAGTAAATAATATCGTCTCTTTTAGACATCCCCCCTCCCTTTTTTTTAGTGAAAGTAGCATTGCTTTAAAGGGTAGTTTCCTGATTTTTCTCACCTCAGATCCTTTACTCACACACTCTTGCTCTGACCCAGATCCCATCAGAGGATTAGTGGGACAGAAGTGGAGCAACAATGGCCCTGGTCGGGTAGCTCAGTTGGTTAGAGCATTGTCCTGATACGCCAAGGTTGCAGGTTCAATCCCCAGTCAGATCACATACAAGAAGCAACCAATGAAAAAATAAATGTCATGTTGTGGCAAGAAGACTGAGCACCTTCCCTGAGCTGACTGGGCACCGTGTGACCTTGTTGGCTGGAGGACAATGGACCAAGTGAACCAAAGATACTTGAAGGAAGGGAACTGGGGGTGACAGGATGATCTTGGCAACAGGCAGAGATAAAGCTGCTCCTGAAGGGAACCGACTAGAACATGTACCTGACCTAACGTCATGGCAGGCTTGGCTCCAGTGGCAGGTGGGGCTGGTGGTTTGATGATGGAGCTGATTTGGGTGGCAAAATTGAGATGCAGGTTTATGGGGCATCAACAGTGGTATCGGATCAGCCCCAGGACTAGAGGCTGATGGGAGAGGAGGGCTTCTTGGGCCTCAGTGGCCTCCAGACCACCTCAGCTACACAAGGGTTACATGAAGCAACCCCTTCAAGCACCCCAGCGTGTCCAACACACTTGTGGTTTGAATTGGTACACGTGGCCCCTGGAGGGGCATCTAGGAGGAGCTGTGCTTGACAACCTAATAGAACTTTAGTCCATCCCAGAGAGCAGAGATGGATTGCTGTATTATTAATAATCATTTTAATTAATAATAATAATTAATGATGTGGGAGATCTGCCCACAAACCACAGTGAGCCTGAGGAGCTTACCAGGTGTCTTAGGTTGGGTGCCCCAGAAGCAGAGCCTGAGACAGGGATCCTGGTACATGAAATAATTAAGGGGTTGCTCCTGGGAAAAGGGGGAGCAAGGAAAGCAGGAGAGGAAAGGGGCTTAGCTAGGAGGTGGTCTCTGCTGGAGTCTGGCTATGGCCTGATCCCACAGAGCCTCAGAAGTGTGAGTTATACCACAGGGCTGGTTCCACTTTGAAGCAAGTGAGCTGGACTTTTATATCCCGCTGTGAGCCAGTCATTGGCTGGGAAGGTGGGCTGGTCTGACCTCCCAAGGGCAGGTGTCTTCTATTTGGCTGAGGAAAATTCTCTGGAGAGGAGGGGCAGCTGGGAAGGGGCCTCTGTGGGCATGAGTAGCCAACATTCACAGCAGCAGCCTGGTGCAGCTGATCTGGGCCGGGCACTCGACGTATCTACTACACTTGTGATTCCGTATCAGATAACCCTTTCGGGCCTCAAACTCCCACACTGTGAGATGGAAGTCCCTGGCACACTGTGACCCGTATGACTACATTTCAACAGTTGGGAGTTAAAATTGTAACAAGAAATGCCAGGTCTCTCCCTGGCCCACTCACCAGGGCCTGCAAGGATTCTGTCTCAGCCTGGAGGCTCTGCACCTGGCATGAAGTGTTGTGTAACTCCACTCTGAGGACAGCAGCCAGCTTCTCCTCCTGGGTCTGGGCCAAGGGGGCCACCTCTGCCTGTTGCTGTGGAGAGTGGGGTCTCAGGTGAGCAGGATGAGTGGAGACCATGAACCCATCCTTCCCTCTCACCCTTTCTAATGACCACCCCACTGCTTCTAACTCAGAGGAAACAGCTATTTGACCTAAAAATTTCTCTTTTTCTATAGGTACCCACACCAGCTTGTATACAAACATTCATTTAGCTTGAACATATGAAGCATATAAATAAAATAAAATTCAAAAAATTTTCTAAAGAATATATGGTAGAAAGTATATAGAGTCCTTTTCTTCCTCTGCCCTAATTACTCAGTTCTCATTTCCAGTTTTTTATACCTCCTTCCAGAAATATTCCAGAAATGCACGATCATTCCCTTTGCTTTGATACTTACTACATCTCAGAAGTTATTCTAGTATATCAGCATATATACATAAATTACATTCTTTTTGATGGCTGTGTAGTATTGCCTTCTTTGGAAGTACTGTAATTATTTAGAAGTCCCCCACTGATGGACACTTAGGTTGCTTCCAGTCTGCCTGTTACAATCAATGGTGCAAAGAATAACCTACATCCCTCATTTTGACTACATGAGGATATCTCTGGGGAGTAAATTCCTGTTGTGGAATTGCTGAGTCAAAAGGGCATTTGTAATTCTGGTGAATGTTGCCATCTTGCCCTTCAGAGACTTCGTAACCCCTTCCAGCATGGCAAGGCAGTGCCAGTTGCCCCATCTTCCTGTAACAGTTAGCCAACTGGATGTGACAGTCCCCATTTCCTTGACAAAACACGTCTGGCCACAGTTGTGACTATCAAGGGGAAGGTCTGTGTTTTGACCCTTCTTCCTGAGCAAAATGGACATATGATTCCTCCCCATACATCCAGGGGAGCAGGTCATTGTTACTCCTCCCTTTGCTGGGGAAAAGAGAAAAAAACGAGAGATCACCCTCATCTATAACTTCAACTCGAGTCTGATGGCATGTCACCAAGCCCGTGATGTAGGAGAAAAATCTGCTTTGTCTCCTAAGTTACTGGCTTTTTGGATCGACCATTTTTATTACATATGAATACTTATTTATAGAAGTATGCAAAAATAGTCGAATCTAATTGACTGGCTAAGAAACCCCAAGTCAAAGGGCTCCTATCTCAGTAGGACTTCTTCTAGTTCTTGCTGTTTGAGGGCTGTAAGGAGCTCAAGAAAAACGCCCATTAAAGGCCTGGGATTAGCTGAAGGAGATCAGAAGCTGTGGGCCCAGCTCCGACTGCTCGACCCTTGGTTGTGTGTCCCCGGGCCATCATTCAGCCTCTCTGAGTCCCAGTCCCTGCCATTGAATACAGATGACAATCAGTGAGCATGATAATCTTATGATGACTATCTCCCGAATCACTTGCGGCTTCCATCAGGTTATGCACGCAGGACCTTAAAAGTGTGCAAATACTGGCTGTATATGTTTTCTGTATGTAAAAAGTAGTATTAGCCAATACATGAGTCTGTAAGTGAGGCTCAGAGAGATTGAGTTATTTATTCAAGATCAAACGACCTAAGAGGGGCAGAGCCGGGACTCAAGTGCAGCAACAGACCCCAGAGCTGAGCTCTTAACCAGAGTTTAATGTTGCCGCTTCCACCAATCCATCAATTTAACACCCTGGAATTGGAGTTGTCCTTCCCAAAGTGAAGGTGGGTCACTCTAAACATCCTCATTGTCTGCCAGATCCTCCTGTGATCAGTAGCCCTGTTTTTCCTTCTCTGCTTGGGGTTGGTGCCTGGCCAGATGGGCTGTGTGGGTGGGTGGGAGACAGGAGAGGGGGTGTCCTCACAGACACATGGAGTCAGGTAACACAGCTACACAGAGTGGCTGGGGCAGTGTGAGCTGGAACCAGCTCCTAACAGCATACAAGAGCCCAGTGTGGACTTTTCAGGAGTTTTGTAAGCTGGTTGTTAAACACAGCCATTATTAAAAATTAAATGATATCAACTCACAATTAAATGTTATATTAAAAATGGTAATAAATACTCAAAACGCATCACTTGCTAATTCTTTACATTTTATCATTATCTATGCTATTGAGGTATTTACACTGATGGTACATGTGTGGTGGGAACAAATGGTGTGGCCCTGCCCAACTCTGTGTTCATTTATGTCAAGTTAGTAGTTTGAAATCAGTCATGGTGAGAGTATTGACACCATGGAAATTGGCAAACACTATAAATCAGAGACTGGATTACCATTTTATTTACTGTCTAGAGTCTAGACTTAAGAAAGGGATGCAGAAAATGTTAATAATGCAGAATAAACGTAAAAGTGGGTCATGTCTGTAGCTGTTGCATTGGGAATGGCACAAAAATTACAGGGAATATTCTTCCAATATTTGAAAACTATTATCTGATTTGTAAAGAAGTTACATCATTGATGAATGAACTCATTAAGGTCAACGAAAATATCAACCAAAATTCACATCAGAGCTATCCTCATTCATCATTAATGTAAGTGACTTTTTGCATAATAAGATATTAATAATCATTTTTCTGTAGTCGGATTTTATGATACGATTGTTGATGACAGAATTATAAAAGTGATTGGTGGGTTTTGCAAGAAATAGCAAGTCACATTGAAATTATAGGTGCAAATGGAAAAGCAAAGTAAGAAATGCTTTCTCTTTGCTGAAAGGTGAGATTAATAAGTATCAGAGACATGTTAATGACCTACCAGCACCAAAGGAGACTTTCTTATATAGTTTAGTTAAGATTGAAAGAGAAAAAGAAATTAATTTGATCACTATGAATTTCAGAGCCATTTTATATCATGTCTCATACCTTTTGAAACCAGCTTACTACATACTTGCACTTCACCTGGGAACAGTTAAGTGTTTGAACTCACCTAAAAGCATGACATGGTCTTCTGTGATGGCTTTTTAGATTTGTTTTCTAGTTATTGCAATAACTCTATTTCTGTTTCCATTTCAACCCAGTGTCTCCAGATTTCTCCTCGCAGACCAAATAGTAGGTGCGTGACTCTAGACCCCGAGGATAGGAAGGCAGGATTGTGTTTTGTTGCTTAGTGCAGTTGCTGGATGTGTAATGAGATTCAATTATGTTGGTCTCCAGTCTTTCAAACCAGCTTGAAATCTGGGCTCCACTGTGCAGGAGCTGGGCTGCCTGTGGGTGCACTCCATCTATATTTCTGGGGCAGGAGAGCATGTGGATATTTTGAAATATGGTAAAACTTTTCAAATTAAAAAAATTTTAAATTAAATTTTTGTGTTGCGCATGAAGGATGGAAGAGAAGAAAAGCAGCATGCTTTTGAGTATGTCAGAATGTAGTGCATGTCTGAGAGTCTCCAAATGGAGGGGAAAGAGCCATCTCCAAACCCAACCCACTTTGCTGATTAGCATTGCCACTCCCCAAAACATCCTTGGCAATGACGTGGAGTTGGAAGAAATGCCGCAGTGTAGTCCAAGGGGGAGGGAGAGCTTAGGAGGAGGCAGAGCATGGAGGGCCACGAGGCAGGTGTGTGCTTAGCAACATGTGTATCCAGGCTGAGCGTGCAGGGGTTAAAATGCGTGTATTCTGCCTTTCCCCGAGCAGTTGCTGTGCCGGTTTCAGCAAGTCACTCAAGCTCTCTGGTTTTTGCAATGGGTGAAAAAACAGCTACTCTGTGCTTCAGAGTACAAACTAACTGCTTTGCTCTAAGCATCTAGGCCTCTGAGGAGCATGCTAACCTCATTACATTCATTATCATGGAGAAAGGGGAAGCAATGGACCCCTGAGGAGATAGATACCTGGGTCCCAATCTTGTATCACAGAGGAATCTTACCCCACAAGGAGGGCACAGAGCCTTGGCTTAGAAAGATCCTCACAGAGGCCGGCATAACCGTTTAGACCCTCAGGACAGAGGCCTCCCAACTTCACATTCCATAAGATGTCACTAGCTCATTCTTTTTTTGTTATTTTAATCCTCACCTGAGGACATGCTGACAGAGAAAAAGAGAGACAGAAACTTCGATATGAGAGAGAAACATTGACTGGTTGCCTCCCGTACATGCCCCGACGGGACCAAACCACAACCCAGGTATGTGCCCTGACCGGGAAGCAAACCAGCAATCTTCTGGTGCCTGGGACAGTGCTCAGCCAACGGAGCCACTCTGGTGGGGCATTTGCTTATTTTTAAAAAACAGAGTGAATCATGGTTTCCCACTTCCTGTGATCTGTCCAGGTCAGCCTGGCAGTTAGGAGTGTCGACTGGGGGAGGGCGTATGTAGTGAATCCGACAGGCTCAGTGACCGAAAGTAACCTCACATTCAGGATGAGTTGATCATGAATTCCTAACTGGGCAGGTCATGGTGGGTAGTCACACCCTAGGCCTGTAACTTCCTTAGTAAAAGTTTTATTTTTGTTCTGAGCCCTGTCCATTGTTCTTGTTCATTTAGGTTAACAGTCCTTTGAGATGCCAAAGCAATGCTCTTTTCCAGAACCCCTCGGAAGCTAACCACCCACAGGTGAGCACATGGTCTTCTTGCCCCCGTATACCATCCCTATTTCAGTGAATGCTCAATGTTAACTCTCCTGCACTAACCCATGTAAAAGAAGTATCTCTCCATTTTACTTTTTATCCAGTCACAGAGATTTTTCCTGTCTGGCTCTCTCCCGCCTCCTTGACCTAACACCAATGGATTTCATGTAATCTTCCTTCCTTCCCTCCTTGGATTCCAAATGCATAAAAAGAACTACAACACTGCCATTTTCCAGAGCACTCTCTCAGTCCATTGAGATCTTGCCTCCCGGCATGTCCTCAGTTTGTTTCAAATGAACTCTTATAAAATTTTTCTATAGGTTTGGATGTTTTTACATCAACAGTAAGAAGGTATAGTTTGAATTATAGCTCTGCTACTTTCTAACTATGTGATCTTGGGTAAGTTACTTAACCTCTCTGTGCCTCCGTTTCCTCCTCTGTGAAATGGATAAATTACAGCACTATTTCAGATTGGGAAGATTAAATGAGAACATGCCTGTCAAGTACTTAGCTCACT